AAGCTCATCTCGAAGGAGACATAAACATATAATTGGTTTTTGTTTCGTTTGGACTCAGCAAGACTAGAATCTGCTCAACTTGAAATCGAGCAAAACATGCTTCCACTTATGCGAATGGCGTAGAAAAGTAGATTTTACCAGATTGCTATTCTTGTCCGCTAGAGTACTCCCGCTCAAATTCGAGTAGATAATGAAACTCGCTCGAGCATTGCAGACCTTTGATAGACTGATTGCCTACTCAAGCCTCCAGATCGGTAATAGCTAAGACTCGTTGCGGCATCTCCAGAATACGTTTTTTTATTTGTCGCAAATAGATGTGTTTGATTGTTATAAACTTTGCATTGTTCTCTATCTTACTTATTCGTTGGCCCTTGTTTGCTTGTTCCATTGTTGTTGACCTCAGGATCAATGTCATTCACATCTGTTGAAAATTATTGTTCACACTCGCAGGTCGATGTAATATCACTCGTAGGTAGACAAATAATACCCACTCGTGAAGCGATGTAGATAGAAGAGCCTTTCGAAAACCTTTCGGACAGCCAATCGACAAGAAATCAGATTTTCAAGCAAAATTTCCTAAAAATATCTAAAAATTTAGCTTTTCGGGTGCGGGCCTCTGGCAACGTCGGTGCAACGATGCTGTGCAATATAAGCCTGCACAGCAAACTTTTTTGCTTTTGGCGACATTTTTTTCACTGACGTTTTAATTAAAGTGGAATCTGTCCTTAGTTTTTGGATTGAGCTCACAATACTCTGTTTCTGCCATGCCATGTGAAATAGAGACCTTCCTTCATGCCTCTCGGAAGACTGAATACATTATCGGCCATAATCACTAAATAAGTAATCTTTTTATCTGATATTCGAATAGAGAGAGAGAAACTCGGATATGCTCCTGTGAGTAAAAATAGAAATCGAGTACACTTTATTTGCCCATGACACTCGAATAATAGTGTAGGCATTGTTCGTTTTTGAAGAAGGGTAAAACCGAAATGGAACAGATTCTACTCTTGCCGAGTACTTTTTTGTCACACTGCTCTCTCGTCGCGAGTAAAACAGAGCAAATTTGAGCTCGGAGTTCTAGTACCAAATAAGAAACTTTTGGACGATTTTGCATATCGATTTTTTTATTTTGTTATTTTGCCAAACATAATGAAGTTCGAAGATGGCAAAAAAATGAATTTCGCATAAACACAGCGTAATATTTTCTGTTCTTGTAACCCCTTATTTCGTATAGAATGCTTTATTAAAATGATATGTTGGCAGCTTACCCTGCACCCAGTTATCAAATCATCCCATATTTTGGTAGCGACAGATTATTATTAATAATTTATTGATAATTCCTACAAATATTTTGTACATATGATTGCATGAACCATAAAAAAGCATTTTTCCAGATTTTTACTACCATAATGAGTAATAGTTCCGTTTTTCACCCGACATTCCATTCGCACAAAAACTAAAGATAAAAAAATTGTAATACACCTGCTGAAATCAGTGAGAGTTACTTTGAGCTGCCATCGATTCGGAATCACTTATTAACCTGCTTTCATAATTCATAGATGGATATTGTTCTACTTAGGCATGGTATTATTCGAATATGAAAGGCGTTTCTTTCACTCATTCATTCATAATTTTCACACACACACATCCAACCAAATGAATATCTATGGATTGAGGTGTGACCACAAGAAATGAGGCCCATTCAATTCCATATCATTTTTATTCCGAAGATTTATCTGATTGATTGATTGATGATTTGTAATCCAACTGACTGGCCATCCATTAACTTCTTTTTCAAGAGATTTCCATTGGAAATTCATGTTACAACGATCTATAAATTTCAATAATAAAGAAGTGTTCATATGTAAATGAGGCTATCTACAGTCATACATCATTAGTCAGTAGCCAGAGCATGTCAGCATGGGAAAGCTTTCGAACATTTTTTTATATTTGGCTTTCGTTTTCCATTTCGAATGTTGAATTTTTTGCAGTTTTTTTTTCGTTTGGATTGCAAAGCAATTTCTTAAATTAAAAATTTTAATGTAAGATGTTGTTTGTATGTGTGTGTGCTTTGTGGCTAATGGATTTGTTTGAGTCATAAGAAATAGTAACTATCCACAATTTTCGAAATAATATGCAAATACTTATAAGTAGATGTATGTAATTTTCTTTTTATGCCTATTAAAATGCTGGAGTGGCGGTGAAAGTCATTTTTCTGTACTCCACTCTCGGCTGTCCGTTTTGCATGGTTTAAACTTAAATTTTAATTAACGAACAAATATCTAGCCAGCCAAGCCAAACTTATTAAGCAAGAAACATGTGTGTAATTTTTGTTGCACTTGGGCAGCAAACAAACCTTGCCTTGAAGCTTAGGGAACTAGAAAAAACACAAAACGCTATCTTCTGTTAAATTATATATATGATGCTGGATGTGTAAGTATTTGAATAATTAAATTAGTTATAGGACCTTATATACCCGACAATGGGGTAGAGAATATATAAGGCTTTCATTTGTTTATGATTGTTCAACACAAATATTTTTGATCCAAGAAAGCAAATATTCTTAATCCGCATGTAATCTGCTCATATTTTGCATTGTCCGTATATCCATATAATCATTAGTTTTGGTCCAATTTGTGGTATAGCTATCATATACCGGCACCGCCCATTTTAAAGTATTTTGGATGTATACGAGTATAAATTACATAGGAATCTTCCTATTTCAATGTACTAAGTCGATCTAGCTAATGAGTTAGTTTGTAATCACGCTACAGGTCGCAATTATGACCCAATCTTCACAGAATTTCGAAGTAAGGCCTAGGGTCAGAATAAAAGCCTATTGTTTTTGGAGACGACTGAAAAATATCCTAATTATGCATTCGCTTTACAGGGCACAACTAAAGACCAATCGACAGGGAATTTCGCATGAGGTTAGAGTTGAGGACAGGTTGGCAATCGGGTAAAATTAAGGAGTCAAAATGGACAACAACTTTGGTGCATTTTTGCAAGATTGAATGGTATTATTTCAAAAACGAAATCGACCATGTGAGGGGTATTTAAATATATTATATAGTGTTGAAGGATACACCATGGTCGGTCCCGCACGAATATAGTCTTTGTTTACAAGTTTTGCTTACAAGTACTTCGTATTCAAAAAAAGTTAGAATTCATCCTTGCAAAGAACTGTTCATCATGGTCCATGTTTTAATTTGGCGCCCATGCAATGATTCCGATCAATTGAACGAATTTTGCCAAAAGTTTTTCTCCCCACTATTTTAAAACAAAATGATTGTAATGGCCAACTTGTCGATTGGAAGGGACTATAATTTAATACTTCCAAGCCAAAATTTTCAGCCGTTAAGAATATTAATTTTCTCTCGGAGGCAAATGTGTAGCTCTTGTCATTAAGAATAAAAATCGCTAACACATAAACTCCATTGAACTTAATATTCAAGGTCCAATTTAGATAATAATTTTTTTGCGCTTTTTTTCTATTTTTGAAAACAATTTTTAAAACGTGTGAAGCTTCTAGAGGCGGTTTTTATAATAAAAAATAGCAAAATACATAAAAAATAAAATATATATATTCCAATTCTATTCAGAAATCATAGAAGTATCCAACTAAGAATTTTTTTCGAAGATTATGTAGGACAACTTTCTAGAATAATTTTAAGATTTCGGCCAAAATGTTCAAAAAAATTATAATAATTTGGCATCTTTAATTTTCGTGGAAAAAAATTCGCCTTACGAAAAATCCCCGAAAATTGCTTCATGTTGGTTCCAGGTCTTGGGGAATGGAACCATAGATATTGGTTTTAGTAAACCTACATTTTCCTACCAAACGGAGTTCAATTTTACACTCGAAATGTATAAATGACCAGATGACCAATAGATGCTGGTAAACCTAAATTTTAGATGAAGCCAACTAATTTGACTACATGACTTAGCCCAAGATAGAGAATATAAAAAGAATAAATGCTAATATTGATAATGCACCATTTGATATACTTTGAAAGTCGTTTGCCACTTTTCCCATAGGTTTATTGTCTAATGAATTCCACATAAGTTATTCGCAATAATTTGAAATTTCATACTGATTTTTATTGTTTGGGACATTGAGTACTTCTGTAGAACATACCCTTGTACACATACAACTCTTTTTAATATGCTGCCTGAAAGAAAATAAAACCATGTTGGCCATAGTTTTACATTAAATTGTCTAAGAAGAATAGAACTACATTCACATCCATTTAGATATGTATATATGAATGTATATGGTAATCAAAAAACCATAAAACCCGACATTTTCATTTGCATGATTATATGCAACCCATGAGCCTACTCATGCAACATCAGACAGACATGTTTCATGCCACAGCAACCACATTGTGGCCACCACATCATCTGCACTCCCAACAGCAACCAAAATCATATTTAAGTAATTAGTGTACTGCTACATTTAAGCGAGGCCATAACGCTGCGATCCATTGCAACTTGTTGTGGTCTTCGGTCGGTTGGTCAGTCCATTCTTGGAAACTATGCAATTGTTGAATATTTCCTTAACACTACAAACACAATAACCTGCCTTCAATTGGTCCGTCGACCAGACTGACAGACGGACGGACACAAATGCAACAAGGATCGTTAAAATACAATTTACACACATACACATACAAAAAGAAAACAGCAACAACTTTGTACAATGCATTAAAAACTGAATTAAATTGATGTAATTTATTCCGCCATTCAGTCCAGCCAAGTCCAATTGCCCATTACCATGGCTCATGGTGTAAGGGGTGTTCATGGTGAAGTCGAGGGGAGATGTAACAGATTTAGTTAAATATAGGTTTTGACTTGAATACTTATTGAAATTTATGTGGGAAGGTTTTTTGATTTCGAACTCATGCCATAGTTATGATTTCTCCACCCCTAAATCAGTTTAATCTGCAACGAATTATTTCATTTAAATGATGTTTTCGTTTTTCTCTTCTTCTTTGCAGTGCTACGTCAAACACATTAGCCAAGGATTCGTGTGCCACAGCTAGCCAAGCTGCAACATCATCATTGCCGCAGCGGTCTGCACCGAAGAAACCTCATCACGAGTTGCTGGCCGAGGTCATTATGCAACAGCCAAGTGATTACTACACACAAACCGAAAGTGAACTCTTACAATTGGAGGCAGCCGGAGTGCACTTGCCAGCCTATCAATTGCAGGCCGTCGATCCGACACTGACACAGCTTGCACAACCAACCGTTCAACAGACGTCGACGCAGCAGCAGCAACACCAGCATCATCACCATTCACACTCGCATCTGCATAGTCTTCCACCGCCGAATTTGAATAATAATGATCGCTCTACGCCCACCTCATCATCGAATGCCACACCCAGTAGCACAAGTCACATTGATCCAGCGTCAAGTAGCAGCAATGGCGGCAGCAGTCACACAGCCGCATCAACACATTTTATGGGGCCCCCACAGCGTCGACACTGCCAGCCGCCCAATAATTTGCCGCTCAGTTCGATCACATCGCCACTGCGTGCCAACTACAAGACGGCAGCCTATTTACACAGTCATCATCAGCAATTAGAATTCCAGCGTAACTCACAATCGGATGATGACAGTGGCTGTGCACTGGAAGAGTACACCTGGGTGCCGCCGGGTCTTCGCCCCGATCAGGTAAGAGAAAATAGCAATTCATGACAATGAATGTCACAAAGAAGGATAATGGGTGACGGCAGAATTTTTTTTTTGGCTAGGAAGTGTAAAATAAAATTTCACTTTGTCACCATGTGGTGGTTGGAGACACACGGACAGGTGTATTTTATAATAATAAAAAACAGTGGTTTTGTGTTGCAACAAACAAGGATTTGTTACAACCATACATTGTATTTCTAACTGGTTTAGGTTGTATATATTCCTCGCTATAAGTGTCTTCAAAAAGCAAGTGATGTTGAAGAGACGGTTCAGATATTTGTCAAAATTATCGATATTTTGGATCCGGATTTTATAAAAACATTCCCCAAAACTCGAAAAAGGCCCCATTTTGTGCCAAATATACTTGACACTATAATATTTCCAAATATCAGAGTATCTGGGTCCGTCCCCCAAGAAAAAAATATGGTTCGGAGATGTGTCAAAATTATTGATGTTTTGGATCACGAAAGAAATCCGCCAGAACTCGAAAAGTTTTATAAGCATAGACCTTATTGGATAAGGTATAACCATAGCTCCCACATATGTTTCCTCCGACTTTTTATTGAAGTCAGCGTTTTCAGTCTGTTGCAATGATAGTTGGTACGAGAGGTCACAAAAAACACAAAAACTCTGCAAATCGATTCAGATTACGATATAACTCTGAAAAAATCACGATTTTGTGTTTTAATAATATCATCACGATATTTCTTGGCGAAGAATGATCGTTTAGGATTTCCAATTCGTGGAATGTCTTTAATTTTCCTCAGGAGAGCTAAAAATATGTTTTTAAAAGCGCATGATTTTTAACCAGAAGGTCATTTAAAAAATTCTGGGAGGTGGCTCGTGTCGATCGTGTTTGAATGGGTACTAGAAGCGTAAACCAGAACATCCCCGATCCAAAACAGGCAAAGATTGGAATTTGCGTAGTTTTAACAAATTCGAGTTATAGGAAGTATTATTATAATCATAACTATCACTAAAATTGTAGAACTCTTTTTCCAATATTCTGATACAAATATTATCGGGTATTAAATTTGGACTAAAGCGGAGACTCCCTTCCATATATAAGAATTGTATAATATTCTCTGATATTTTAAACCTCTTGTAATGTGAACGCTAAGACTTATTCTTACTAACCACATAGCACCAATAGCTTTAAACAATTTGTTTTTGAAAAAAAAAAATTGGAATAAAAATTATAAAGGAAAGTGAATTGTATCGTATGTAATTTAACATATAATAATTCCACTAGCGTACTGTGTAAACCTTTTTCGGCACTAGCTCGTTTGCAACCCTTATTGTTGGCTTCAACGATTAGTTTTTTACGCTTTTGCTCATTATTCATTAATTTGTTATCGATTTCAATTCTTCATTCTCTCATTCCGACAGAGGTATTGAACAAATAATTGACAGAATAAAACTTCCTTTTTCTTAAACCTCGCAAAGAGTACAGACGTTGTAAGCAGAAAAAATCAATTTGATCGTTAAAATAATCAAACATTTGCTACATCATCAGAGTGCAAAAATTTTCAATAAAAGTTTTTAATAATTTAGTACACATAAAGAAAGTACCATTTACATCAATAAATTTACCATACACGTGCTGCCACGGCCACTACCGAAATCGTGCAAAGCCTCCCAGTGCATTAAAGAAGTGGTAAAATAATTCCAGATATATACCCCGATACTGAAATAATCTCCAAAAAAGCCGCAATTTTTCTTGATCCGTGTAACATTTGCATTTTTCCATACTCCACTCTTTGAAACCCCAAATACCGAGTGCCATTAAGTCATCCAATAAACACCTACCGGTTCCATAAAGAGTGGAGGGGAACATATTTCTTCCAAGGATCATTACCTTAAGGAGATTAAACACGGAATTTTGAACAGTACTTCTATCCCACGCTGTCCAATACATAAGAATCGACCATGGTGGCCGAAAAAGCCTCATAGAAACTAGCTCATTAATGAATGCTTTGTGAAATTACCTGCAAATTTTGTCTTTTTTTTATAAAATACCTGAATCTGAAATTAGCATATGTTAATTATTAATATCTCGAATGATATCAATAATTAAATAATATATTAATTAATGACATTGTAAATTTCTCTAAATTTTGTATATTAAAATTTTTCTTTGCTTAAGCATGAATTATTTTTTTTGAACTTCGTCTTAATATTATCATATAGTACGTAACCTTTCATATTTTTGTTTCAAAATAATTACAATTAAAAATCAATTCTTTCAAATAGTAATTTCAATACTGATAAATGTTTCCTAAAATGTTTAAAAAAATAATGTAATAATGAATCACTTAGAATGATTTAAAAAAAAAAAAGGCAAATTTCTACTGATGAAAAAAAATGATAACCTAATAATCTTAATGTTAAGTGCAGCAGCAACAACAACCTTAATGAGCATTCCGTAAACTATGATCACCCACATGTAATTTCGTTATCATCATTATCATCCATCATTAGCATCCATTAACCGTCGAACTTCATTAAAACTGGACAACCATCATCGAACTTCATGAAGGCCTTCAAGAAATTTGCATGAGCTGGTGAGTACACGGTAATTATCATTATCGACTAACAATCAAACATTGCCAATGCATAATTACGAAAGAACACAAATGAATAGCATGTAGTGATCTAGTTTTTTTTTTTTTGCTCTCTCTTTAGTTTTATTAATGTTGTTGTTTTAAATTCCCAAAGAATCTATTGAGAAATTGAAAGAAGAAGAAAAAAATAACAATTGAAATAATTGTCGCTTACTTCATGTATCAATAAACCTAGTAGTTGTTGGTAAATTTATTTTTTTTGCTTTGATCTTTACATCATGCAGCAATAACCAAAAGATTATTTTGAAGGGTTACCACTTTATGCTACATTGTTTAAAAATTCCAAAATAGGTTTTTTTTTTTCAAATAATGAATTATTTTTTTATTGTTATTTTTTTTATTATTATTTGTTTCTCTCTTCTTGGAATATTTATTTCAAGGTATACCTATATTAAAAAAACCTAATAATAACTACATTATTTAAATAATGATTAGCGTATATTTTAATATCATGAATTGAACAATAAATTAGAATACATTATGAATTGGTAAAATAACTTAAGTGTTTTCTACTATGTGGTAGTGTGTGGCCAGTGTAAAGAACATTTGGGGTCCTGAATCTTAGCGCTAACAGGACATTGGCTAGGGGGGGGGGGGCAGGAAAAGCGCTGATCTCTTACCATCCGAGATCCTGTTAAAATGCACAAATCCGAAACAAAATCACCATGATTATCAAGGGGTATTTTTTTTTTAAACGATAGTCATTTATCATTAATTTTCTCTTAATTCATACCAATAGGGAGTCTAAAATATTGCTGTAGACAACATGTGTTTCGATGAACCAAGGACAACCCCCACCCAAAAACCGACTGTAGCTAGATGTAATGGCTCCCGCCGTCCGAGGTCATTGAACAAGCTTGGTGAAAGAACTGTCCAAGAGCGAAACCCAAATATCAATATAATATCCGTCCATCTGTTAAGTTCTTATAAAGGTTTCGTTTTTATTATAAATAGAAGTTTTTCTACAGAAATGGCGCCCAACGTGGGGCCAAGTACGATGCATTTACGTGCTTTTCCCCAAAAGTTATAATTTTCCATCCTTTTTCATTTACATTCCAATGCAATAGCCCTAAGTCTGGGATATATATGGATTGCAAAACTTAGAATACTCCAATTGACCTTTTTAGGAATTTCGGTTGTTTGAGTTTTACTCGAATACATCGACCATTAAGTATCATTGATGAATTTCTAGGCTTCGCAATCTACTATATATTTTAGATTTCATGAAATTTAAGTCCATCTTAAGGATATTTTAGACATTTTAGTGAGCTTAGGTATCGAAAACTGAATTTATTTGGAATACATTACATTAGCTGAATGCTATGAAATGTCAAATAAATGACAGATCTTGAGAAAAGTAATTATACCATTCGGTTTGTTCCTAAAATAGAAAAACTAATTCTTAATTTGCACACCCATATATAAATTTTCTGGTGCATTCATTTCTCACAATATACTGGTCCACACCCACTGAAAGTACGAAAACTAAAAATTTGATAAGATTTTTTTATAAAAAAAAAAAACTATAAATATATTTTATCCCACGTATTTTGTTATACTCATTAATCCTTAGAAATATGGCTATGGCCAGAACACCCCCTCTTCCAACTTCTGGGACAAATGAAGTAAATTTTATTTGTACAATTTGCAATGAAAATTCATTAGAAAATCAAGAGTGTATGTATATTGCACAATGTCATCACTCATTTCACCGAAACTGTATAGAAAAATACCTTGCTAGCACAAGTGAATGTCCCACTTGTAAACGTCCATTCGAATTATCAGAACTGCGTTCTATGAACCCCCAGAATGAACCTCTGCAACTTTTGCAGAATGAATCTTATGAGGTTCAAAACACTTCTCAAGAATTTCAAAGACAAAAGTCTAACTCCTATCGGGGAAAGAAAAGAGGCGCGTTAGCCAAACAATATAATACGAGAAGTTCAGCTCGAAACGCCCAATTTGATTCAAATCAATTACTTCTCCCGGATATATATGAGAATTCCACAATGACTGCCGAAGACAATACTATTGGCGAACCTAGTTCGAATAGATCTCATGTTCCAAGTTTCAATCCAAGAACTCCACAAAGAACAGACGTCACCCATAACTCGAATAATATAGATTATGATATCATAAATCGTATGATCGAATCAGGTATCAGTAAACTTCTACGAAATATGAACCTTAACAACTGTGTTTCCAACACAAATAATAACCATCCAACTAGTACTGACCAACCACATACTTCGCGAAGTTCTACTCCAAATTTCAACTCTTCTTTATCCTCCGACAAGATTCCTTCTATTATAAGGAACTGGAATCTCCAGTTTGATGGCTCGACCCAAGGACTAGATG